ATCGGCCGATATTTATTTTTTTTTATTAAATTTTGTTGGATTTCACACACGTGTAAAAGAAAAGCTAACTTTTCTGCACAAGATACGTTTGATACTTTTTCTCTATGTCTAAATGTTCACTCCTCGCAAGTATAACTTACATTTTACAATGCAGGGACTGTAACTAGAGATATGCTAGCTATCAGAAAAAGTTCATTGTGGTTTCCAAGCTCATTAATGTTAACGTTAACGTTAGTGGCATTAGCTAGCTTTGTGGTTAGCGAAGTCTAAGATGAGTCATAATTTAGCAATAGATGACATCATACTGCAAGTTGTAAAACATACATTTTCAATATAACAGGCCAAGGAGAGATGATTGAAGCGTGTTTCATCCGTTTTTATTTTATTTTTTAAATATTCATTTATCGGCCATTATAACTGCCGATACCGATATTATGGAAAATGCCTAATATCGGCCGATAATATCGGTCTGGCTCTAAAACTGAGTATTTACTTTAAAAAAGATTATTGTAATAGACAAAAGCCATTTGGAGTTTATTCAAAGACGAGTGTATTTTTTTAAACCGGAAAAATACCAGCAAGTTATGCAAGAAAAATACATATTTAGGAACTTTTGGTTAATCATATTCTGCACTTCAAACATGGATGATGGAAAAAGACAAAAATAATAAAATCAATATTAGAAAGGCCAGCAACTGTGCGCGAGTGTAAATTATGTGGTCAGTACATATCAAATTATCAGACGCCTGAATCAATTTCCCTTGTGCAGAACTGCTGAATTGTGAGAAAAAAAACCATAATGAGTTTCAGACAGATTTTCCCCTGAGCAAACATCATCAGCACTGTTGAGAACAAACTCTCGGGGTGTCGAGTTCACCCCTCCCAACGTCCAAAACACATTAAAACATGCTCTTCGTCGCTTGTCCTTCAAGTCCATCTTGTTTGATTTGCAATGTTAAAGGAATAGTTCCCCTAAAAGGGACCTTCATGCTGACACTTTTTTACCAAGGAACATTAAAGGAGTAGTTCACTTTTTTAAAAAAAACAACTCCTGATAATTTACTCGCCCCCATGATATCCAAGATGTCCATGTCTTTCTTTCTTCAGTCGGAAAGAAATTAAGGTTTTTGATGAAAACATTCCAGGATTTTTCTCCATATAATGGACTTCAATGGGGACCAAACGGTTCAAGGTCCAAATGAGAGTTTCAGTGCAGCTTCAAAGGGCTTTAAACGACACCAGACGATGAATAAGGGTCTTATCTAGGACACTTCCAGTCATGACTCGAAAAAAGATTTGTTCATTTGATAAACGAGTTCGAACAGGAGAGTCATGAACGCGCATCACGGCGAGCATTTGTGCTTATAAAACTTAAACTTTGTTATTTATTTTTGAAATGGCTGCTCGTTTCGCTAGATAAGACCCTTATTCATCGTCTGGTGTCGTTTAAAGCCCTTTGAAGCTGCACTGAAACTCTCATTTGGACCTTGAACCGTTTGGACCCCATTGAAGTCCATTATATGGAGAAAAATCCTGGAATGTTTTCATCAAAAACCTTCATTTCTTTTTTGACTGAAGAAAGAAAGACGTGGACATCTTGGATGACATGGGGGTGAGTAAATTATCAGCAAAAGTTTTTAAAGACAGAACTTTGATGTTTGCATGGACTTTCATTGATCTGTGCATCAGCAGCACTGTCCTCTAATAAAGAAAATCGATTCTGATTAACACACGATTTAAACCAACTTTAATAGGTGGCATGCATTAGTTGAAGTGCAAGGAGTGCACATGCAAGGAAAAAAACTCCTCCCACAGGGCAAGAATGATTAAATTTGTGTTCATCACAGTAAAGGGTTCAAAAAGTGGGATCAAACATCATTTCAAAGCAAGTATTCTTCCATTCACAGCTCACCAAAAGCTATTATTCCATCCCCGATGCCCCACGCGTTCCCTGACGGATCAATAACACAACAATAGTCCTCCGGATCCATAAGAATCACCCAGCTGTGTCTGGTTTTCTTCATCTTTCTGATATTAACCATTTCACCAAGTGCGACTGTCTCCGAACATTCACAAAGATGATAGCTAGGAGTGCATCTTCTTCTCACAAATCACACACTCTTTTGTCGAAACTGCAGCAACATCACTTTTGTGTCTACTAGTGTGGGATTGTCACCAGTTTCACATATCACCATTCACTAGAAATATATTGAAGCAATTTGCATCAACCATTTCAGAGAGATTCAATTCAACAAGTAATTGCATGCAGATAATCACCGATATTCAGTGAAGTGCCATTAGCTGCTTCTCTAAAGAATAGCCACCAGCAACACTATAGCAGCATGTTCTGTTCAACATTAAAGGTGCTCAAAGCAATGTCACGCGTTTTTTTGTTGTTTTTTTTTTTGTCACATACTGCAAACATCTCTCCACTATCCGCTAGATGCCTGTCCCCTGAACACACTGGGAAAAAACGCGGCCTCTGTAGACAGTCCAGGCACCACACGCAACAAAAACAAACTGGGCCAACCCGCTCCACGAAACATAACGCACAGCTCCAGCCAATAACCGACTAGAAGGATTTGGGGGTGGGGTTTGGGGGATTTGGGGGTGGGGTTTGGGGGATTTGAGGGTGGGGTTTGAGGGATTTAGGGTGGAGTTTGAGGGATTTGGGGGTGGGGTTTGAGGGATTTAGGGTGGAGTTTGAGGGATTTGGGGGTGGGGTTGATGGATTTAGGGTGGAGTTTGAGGGATTTGGGGGTGGGGTTTGATGGATTTGGGGTATGGGGGATTTGGGGGTGGGGTTTGGGGGATTTGGGGGAGGGGTTTGGGGGATTTGAGGGTGGGGTTTGAGGGATTTAGGGTGGAGTTTGAGGGATTTGGGGTGGGGTTTGAGGGGATTTAGGGTATGGGGATTTGGGGGTGGGGTTTGAGGGATTTGGGGTGGGGTTTGAGGGATTTGGGGTATGGGGGATTTGGGGGTGGGGGATTTGGGGGAGGGGTTTGAGGGATTTGGGGTATGGGGATTTGGGGGTGGGGTTTGAGGGATTTAGGGTGGGGTTTGAGGGATTTGGGGTATTTGGTGGTGGAGTTTGAGGGATTTAGGGTGGGGTTTGAGGGATTGGGGTATTTGGGGGTGGGGTTTGAGGGATTTGGGGTATGGGGGATTTGGGGGTGGGGGATTTGGGGAGGGGGTTTGAGGGATTTGGGGTATGGGGGATTTGGGGTGGGGTTTGGGGGATTTGGGGTGGGGTTTGGGGGATTTGAGGTTGGGGTTTGAGGGATTTAGGGTGGGGTTTGAGGGATTTGGGGTATGGGGATTTGGGGTGGGGTTTGGGGATTTGGGGGTGGGGTTTGAGGGATTTAGGGTATGGGGGATTTGGTGGTGGAGTTTGAGGGATTTAGGGTGGGGTTTGAGGGATTTGGGGTTTTGGGGATTTGAGGTTTGGGTTTGAGGGATTTAGGGTGGGGTTTGAGGGATTTGGGGTATGGGGGATTTGGTGGTGGAGTTTGAGGGATTTGGGGGCGGGGTTTGAGGGATTTGAGCTAGCCTCCGTTTTATTTGACAATACTTCGAACGTCAACAAAAGTGATGACACCTAACATCGCTTAGAGCACCTTTAATATATGCTAACAAGTATGGCAATATTAATAAATCAACATCAGTAGAAATAACAACTATAACAAAAAAATACTCAATATGAGTCACTAATATTAATATTAAGTTACTATTATTTGCACATTAGACATATATCAATCACAAAAAGAAAAGAAAAACAACTATTGGTTTCTGAATATCATTTCTATAGTGATAAATGCCCCCTACTGGGTCTCTAAAAAATATCCATAAAAAATACCATTACGTGACTGTCTATTCAACATTCAAATAGAAAAAAAAAATTTAAATTAGTATTATACATACTAAAATAAGAGCAATGAATGGCAATAATAATATTTCAACAACAGCAGAAATCACAACTGCATAATAAAATATTCACGAGTCACTCATTAATATTTATATTATTATTTTGCATATCAGACACTTTAAAAAAGTAAAAAAAAAAATTAAATTTTAAAATTTTAAATTTAAAAAAATACTATTATCGGTTTCTGAATATCGGTTCTAGCGATCAATGCCCCCTGCTGGGTCTCTAAAGAATAGCCACAAACAACACCATTACATCACTGTCTATTCAACATTAAAATAATAAAATTATAAATGTACAAATTAAAAATGACATTTAATATGAATATAATATATACTAATATAATGGCAAATTTAATAAACCACAACAGCAATAACAGCAAATATAAAATAAAATAAAAATCACTGGTCTAATGATTATTATTATTATTATTATATGCATACTGGATATCAAAAATAAAAATAATCATAATCGGTTTCTGAATATGGATCTATTGATTAATGCCATCTGCTGGGTCTCTAAAGAATGGCACCCTACAAGCATCAAATCACTGTGCACATATGAGATTATAATTAAATACATATGGATATAATAAATACCAAAACAAAATGTAGGAAATATATGTATACGGAATTAAATATGGAAAATACCAGGCATCTAAAATCGATTAATTAATATGAACGGTATGATACAAAGTAGCCTAATTGATCAATAATTGTGTTAATTGCATATTGGTTATTATCGGACACTTACACAAAAAAAAGCATTGATCTTGGTCATGAAAAAACCAAAACAAAATATCTGTAAAGGCATCCGCTGACTTGTTACACACAGACATAGAAACGAGGAAAGCTGTATTGTTTCCCTCCCAAAGTGTTATTATGCAGAACTCGTGTGTTGTGGAGCGCACTTGTTTCTATGATTTGATCACGCACACACACACGCACATGATTCATTGGCAGGTAGACCCCAGGAGCCGCATTAGTATTCAACTCCAGGTCCCAGCAAAGAATGAAGCAAGGAACGAGTGAGGAACATTTTCTCCAGAAGAATGCTTTAAGAATTGCAACTTACCTTTCCACAGCAACGCCAAGAGCAAAGCGAGCGCGTGTCGCAACATTGCGCAGCTCATGTTTGAGTTGATGCTTTCTTATTTCTCAGCGTCAGTTCTTGCAGCAACAGTCCGTTTTTATCTTCTATGAACGGGAACACGCATAAACCGCAGTTGTCCGTCCCTGTGTCCAATTTGACGAAACGTCCGCAGTCCACAAATCTTCCAAGTGTGCCAGGAGTGCCACAAGACGGCTCGGTTCTCCCAAGTGACCCTTTGCAAGGAGACCAAACACAATCTGTTGGCGTTTGGAGTGCCAGAGGATGTGTAAATAAATCCTTGCGCGAAAAAAAAAAAAAGAAAATTATAACGTATACCTCCTCGGATTTGTATACTCAAAGCAAGAGCATGCACAGAAAACGAGAACACGACAGTTCGGATGGTTTAGTGGGATGTTGTGAGCTCTGACGATCAGTTCAGTGAATCAGAATCACTGTGCATCGCTTCAGAGCGGAGCACGAAAGAAGCCTCTGATTGACAGCTCAAGGAGAAGCTCCTCCGCCAATCAGCGAGCGGCAAGGGAGGGGGCGGGGAACCGAGGAGGAGACTTGGCCAATCGTGAGCGCAGAGGGGCGGAGCCTACTAGAGCGCTATGATAATATAAGGTGATTTATAGCACGCTCAGTGCACTGCAGTGCTGGAGGAAAGGTGTTTGCGTGTACATACACATTAGTGCTTTATGTTTTCTGCTGGGAGAGGTGATTTGCGTGGGGAAACTTAGCAGAGGATTGTTTAGGAATAACACACTTGATTTATTGGGCCATTCGTACTGTGCCGATACAGTTTTGTGCGACCATTTGACTTAATAAAAAAAATTAGACTCTCAATTTTTCAAGATGCAAACCATGTTATTTACAAATACATTTCACTACATATAGATATGAGGTCAAAAGTTAGGAAACATTGCCATTTTTTATGTTTTTATAAGAAGTCTCTTATGCTCATCAAGCCTGCATTTCTGTGATCAAAGATACAGAAAAAAACAGCAGTATTGCAAAATATTATTACAATTTAAAATAATGGTTTTCTATTTTAATATACTTTATAATGTAATTTATTCCTGTGATCTGAACTGAATTTATTGAATGAGTCTTCAGTGTCACATGATCCAACATTTGAACTGCATAATATTTTTTGGTATAAAATAAAAATGTAAAAAATGAAATATTTTTCATAGAAATACTGTCTTGGAATTTCTTTAAGTTTAGGCTTATGTAATTAATATCACTGTTAGACTTTTGACTAACACCATGACATCGTCCTCCAGGAAGTGACATCATTTTGGAGGGAAAACACCACAACCACATTAGTCAGTGCATTTAAGATGACTCTCTGTACATATTGTTGTCATATTTTGTACAGATATGTTTGCAATTTTGTAACAGAATTGTATGATATGATTGTCACCTTTGTTTGTTTGTAAGCATAATTTAAAAAAAATTAGTGCATTTATTTGAATAATTCAGTGTTTGGTTGCATCGTCAGTTAACTGAGCAAATTTATACATGCATATTCATATTTATGCAGTTTCAAAAGCATGACCTGAACTGATTTTACGTAATCTATGACATTAGATGGACATGATGGTTGTGGTTTTGATGGTAATTTGGCGGGTATATTCACACGTATCCGCTCACAAGGTCAGTGACTGTGGGGATTGTGCTCTAACAGGGTGTTGACTGTCATCTTGAGATTGATGGCTGTCCTGACTCAAGTGAAGGGACGTCGCAACAGCATTTGAATATCAATATGGTGAACTATTTATGATACAGAGCTGGAGTTCAGCCTTTAAAGGGAAAGGTCACTCAAAAATGACAAATGCCATTTTTTCATTGTTTTAAGAATGATGAGTTTTGCTGGGGGAAACAGTCCTGCATTCATGCACAATACATGGGATGCACGATATATCGGCCAGCATATCGGTATCGGCCGATATATGTTCATTTTTAATGTTATCGGTATCGGCCTGGTAAGAAAATGTGGCCGATATATTAAAGCCGATAAATAATGTACTATTCCCTTCAGCTGAGACACTTGTTGAGAACTGTTTATGTTTTTGAATTTCTTGAAATATGATTGAAATCTCTTCAAAAAATGAAAATCTGGTTCGGGACAACATGTGCAACGCAAATCTGTCATATCGCCTATACAACACTATAATGAGAACATCATTATAACTGTGCGCTTGGGACGTGGATTTAATTGTGAGACTTTTGTTTTTGTAATCAGGCTAAAAATTTGGATTTAAGTTTATCGGCCGATATATCGGTTATCGGCTTTCAAATATAAAAAATTATCGGTATCGGCCAAAATTTTCATATCGGTGCATCCCTACACAATACTCAAGTCTTTTCTAGAGATTTGCCTTTTGATCACATGCTTTAATATACAATTTGACCTCTAATTTAACTGCTTATGAGTGTAAAGTGCTTTGAGCTTTACTGGGCATGAAACATGTCCTGCCAGTACACACACATTTGGCATCTGTCAGTGAAATCAGGAGCGAAACGGTGCAGAGGTCTCATGAATCTTGCCACGGCTTTGAATAATTGATGTCCTGATATGATGCATTTATCGCACATTAATGGTTCACAGTTTCATTTAATATGCATGCTGGTGTTAAATGACAGTGTTTCATAGTTTGCATTCATTTCTAGTGATTAGCGTTGATTAGAATCGTCTGTTTTGTTGTGCATTCAAACGAGTCTGCGCTTTGTGTTTGTTTCTGATGGTCAGGGAGAGAGCAGATGCGGTATAATTTCCATGGCGAGATTGCTATCTGAACCCCAGTGTCCCTCATCCATTCAGAGTTCTTCGTGACAGCCCGAGACCTTTTCAAATGCAATCAAGTTTTTCGATATGTCACAAGATTTTTCGAAGGCCCAACTTTTATAAGTCTATGCGACCTGCTTTGGTTTATCATTGTCATTTTTCTGTTCAAATTTTCTCACGCCCACAAAACTCCTCCAAGAGCAGAAGCATCGCAGCAGCTCGGCACACTTGTGATATTGCTCCGGTTCAGACTTCATATCTAGAGAAGGCCGTCCGCCAGCTGTCCTTTTCAAATCATCCCTGAGAATATATGCAACTGTGAATTTATAAAAATTCCCAAAAACTGGAAATAATAATTGCAATTTAGATGTTGCATGCATGCAGAACAATATCAGCTCCTTGAAACCGTAAAAAAATTGACCGTAAAATTTACAGTAACTTACTGTGAATACTTTTTTTACAGTACTTCCATTTACAGTATTTTATGGATACACTGTGAAATCAAAAACAATTAAATACTGTGATTTTAGTTCTATTCATAATAATTTACAGGCTAATTGTTGTGAATATGTTTACTGTCATGACTCAGTCGAGGTTTGCTACTTCAACATGGGATGCTTGACTAATGTCTCGCTCACACTACAGGCGTTTTAAAATACTGCACGATTGTGAAATCTAGTTGCACAATTTTCAGGTCACTGTACTTTTCACACTGCACGACGATCTCAGTCACTGGTGTGTGTGTTCTGTTGTGGAAATGTTGTACCTATCTCTTAAATAATAATTAAAGAACAATGAAGATCTCGAAAGTCATAAGTATACATGTTTATTTCTTGCAAGAAAGGCAGTTCACACACAGACAGAGTCTGATATGAGAAGGGCAAAAGTCTTCTCACTTTACAGAGGTTATATATAAAAAAAGATCATCCTCCACAATGTACCCCCTCCCCTCCCCACAGTTTTTCGGTTCCTCTTATTTTAACTCAATGCATCAATGCATCTCCTCAGCAAACACATATGTAATTTCAAGAAAACCTAACCAATGTCTGACTTCTACTGCCCTCAAAGTTATCTATTGCTAAGAAAAGCAGAACGCTCTGTCCTTTGCCCTGTCCTACTGACCAAATGTAAAGAGGGAACTTATGCAGCTATTTGCAAATCTTGTAATTTTCTATGACACACTCTACTTTTGAGTAAAATCACATCTATATAAGAACACATCTGTGTGTAAAGAACACATCTATATGAGAACACATCTATATTTGAGAACACACAAGCAGATATATATATACAGTATATACTGTATATATATATATATATATATATATATATATATATATATATGAAGAGTTCAGATGCAAACGCCTCTAAGTGCCATTTGAAATTTTCTTCTAAAATTATCATTTTTATCAAGCTTGTATATTTAAGTTCAGTATTTTCACTTAAATGGCAATGAAGATTACCTATTAATTGTCATTTAAATGAAATTACTGAACTTAAATATACAAGCTTGATAAAAAAATGGTCATTTTAGAAGAAAATTTGCTTGATAAAAATGGTCATTTTAGAAGAAAAGCCTCTTTAGAAGAGGCTTTTGCATCTGAACTCTTCATATATGTATATACAGTATATATATATATATATATATATATGTTTAAAAATAATATCCATCACAGTTCACACTGAACGAGGTGGTTTCACACTGCATGAGTTAAAAGAAGATTTGCCGACAACTGTCTGCAAACGTTTCATAACCAGAAACACACATACGAGAAGTGATCAGGAAATAACACAAGTCCTCGAGTGAGACTGGAATTGCTATTAAAAATGATAGCCTGCAAGAAGATTGTGATTCAGATTGTCTGCGTTGATTTGCAGTGAAAAGAGAGAAAGAAAAACAGCAATCCTTGCAAATCCAAAAGCAAGGATTGTGTTTCCGTAAAGAGAGTTGGCGGTAAATAAATCATTTTGCAATGTGCTGCTGGTCAAGCAAATGTTTGTGCTGTGTTTCTGTTTGATATAATTGTAAATATTTAGCAATATTAAAATAGTGAAGTTCTTCCGAACTTCCCAATGCCCTGTATCTTGCCTTCTCATTGGCTGTTGGGCATCGCCGATGTAGTTTATGACGCTTTTTCATTGGTAGTACGGCTGGGTATGGCTCAGTACGGTTCGATTTGGCGCGGCACGGTTCCATACCGTACTATGCAGTGGAAAAGCGCCAAAGCGTGCCGTACCGTACCTTACCGTACCATGCAGTGAAAAAGCGCCATTAGTCACATTCAGGATTGTGAATTGCCGACAGCTCCAGGTATTTAGCATGCTATAGTATCTATCTATCTATCTATCTATCTATCTATCTATCTATCTATCTATCTATCTATCTATCTATCTATCTATACTTCTCAATGATGTCACTTCCTGTTTTAGGGATTTCTTTATTATCCAGAGTTGTCGAATAAATATTTTGAAATAATATTTTGAAATTGCTTTATTTAAAATATTGTATCATTTTGTTTTCATGTATTATTTTAATATTTTTTTTTATATATATTATATTACTTTATATGACATTAAATTAAATTAATAAAAAATATACACAAATGCAATTTTTTTAAAAGAATTTCAGCTTAAATAGACGTTTGCTTTTCTTTAACAATCTCCGGACGGTTACA